CTTTTTATCTCCGGTATTTCAGCATTTCTTATTTTTAACTACCGTATTCAATTTCGTTTTGTTATTCCAATTTTCTCTAATGCGTAAGTTAAAAATTTGGTTCCGTCATAGAGTGGTGTAGTTTGTGGAGTGCACTTATGCTATGACGATGTTCCCTCATATAAACGTACATTTTATAACAGTTAATATTTGCGCCTTCACTATTCATTAACATTATCTGACCCAACTAATTACTAGTTAGCCTAGGTGAGCCAACTTTTACACATCTTGTAGGGATTTTACTTATAACAAAAAATTTATTAAATAAGATTGCAACTATGTTGAATGATAAAATCAAAATTCTAGTCAATACTCCTGGATGGCATAATTATTTTTTGGTTTTTTCTAATTTCAATAATTGGGTTAGTTTGCATTTATTTTCACTATTGGAAATTATAAACTGTTCTTATTTTTTTGATTTGGTTTTACTTCTAGTGGCCTTCCTTTTTATCTCCGGTATTTCAGCATTTCTTATTTTTAACTACCGTAGCAAATGACTCTCAGTTCACAGCTAGTTTACACAATATTTATTTATGTAAATATTTTGTATTCAATATATGAGCCTAAAGATGTGTTAAATATAAATGTCAATATTTTGTTGACATGCGGCTTCTATCGGTACTCAATAGTACAACTTTCAAAAGCCAATCAAGAAGTTTTAGTACGTAAAATAATAATAATATAACAAATAGAATGGTTGTTATGCATATTACATCTAGTTACAGTAATGATATCAAATGCGAATATCACAATACTTACTCGGAAACATTCCTAGTTAAATTATCCAAGAAAAAAAAAGAGGAAATAGGTTTCCCATTATGAGGATTCCACTGATGTAAACAACGAGGCTCCTTGTCGTGCATATAAACTTGATAGAAACGGATGACACCATCAACACTGGCAACGCCTAAAGTTGATCCATCAGGAGAAAGGGCTACCCAACTTACGGTACTCAATTCATCGTAGACCTTAAGATAACCCATCGAAATATCAGTTGGATGTATAACGCCCATCTGTAATATTTTCAAATGGAAATATCTAGCAATATAATTTATATTTCCACTAATATGTTAAATTCTTACTCCATATTCTGTTATAATAACATTTATATTAAAACATTGCAACATCGAACCTCTCGCCCACACAATTAATTGACTATCTTCATCATCTTCACCGGGAACATCAATAAAAGGACACCATGATATTTTGTCATACTTTGGGTTATAATTTGTCAACGGATCATCTATTTTGACAAGCAAACTGCATTGTAAATTGTCATCGACAAGGTCTATTTTATGTATATAAAGGGCATTCATATCAATTGAAGCAAGTATACGTTCCCTTTCTATATGTGCGAATTGTAAATCAAGGACTTCACCGGACATTCCCTTGATAAGAGCTCGCAATACCGTCTGAGCTTTTACAACACGAACCATACCCTCCACACGCGATACTTTGTTATTAACTAAAAATTTTGTTTGTATATAATATATATATATATATATATATAGCTGCGAAGTATTTCAAATATGCATACCGTTTATGACATAGGCAATATGTTTTCCGTCCATATGTACCGCTATTAAATGACCAGGGTAGTTCTTCAATTCCCACTTGTAATCCACAATGTTCTTTAGTTTGACTTTCGAAGAACCATGGTCATGATTACCAGGACTGACGATAATATTTACATTCCTTGTTGCGATTTCGTAGCTGCATTGAATATCATCCGCTTTAAAATTGCTTTAAAATTGTAGAAAAAATAACATTAATTTTGCTCACGTTAATATTTCTGAATTATTTACATGGTGCTACAATTGGAAACTGCATCGCTTGTTATACTCTCTGTTGTAGTATTGACCAAAGATTTTTCTCCTATATATTTGGTGCTCATTTTAATTCCCTTGGCCCGACTTATTGAAGTAAGATATAAATTTGAATAACCACGCCCTCGAAATCGTTGTAAAGAATTCTTTAAAAGCGTAATTATCGTGATCACCGAAATTAACATTTACATATAAAAGCGGCGGATAATAAATAACACTACTTGCGATTATTTTAAATGTATATAAAAATTATGTCTACAGCGTATCAGCTCGAGATTACTGAAAGTTTCATAGACAATGGAGTGGACGCAAAGATTTTTTTTTATCAAGGGGTCATATTTTATCTGCTTTTCGTTATTACTTTAAATTACTTAAGTTAATATTATGTTTTCAATTACAAAACAAGAATATGCAATACTTTTGAGCCTGTAATCACTATTGAAGTAGATGTTCACAAAAGAAATTTTACCAACGCTGATGGTAATGCCGACAGTTGTGAAAAAATTATGAAATATAATAAAAGAAAATGTCAAAAGTAAAATTCAGAGTTGCACTTCATGTTCCTGTTTATATATCAATATTTTGCTTTCTGGTTTACGCTTACGCTACAACACTTCTGAACTGCACTGTAAATTAAAAAAAATTGCAAAAGCATTATAATTTAATATTTAAATATGCATTTGTGGTTCTGCCAGACTCTAATGGTTCATAAGGGAAAGTAGTTTCAAATTCAAGGAGTTCTAATAATTATTAGGTAATTTAAATTTAAAAATCTTTAAAATTACCTTGTTTGTTTTTCGTTATGCGTTTTGTAAGACGCTCAATATTACCCATAGTCCGTTTTCTTAAAATTTTCGATAAAAATTGATCAAGCGTCGGGTAATGGAAACATTTGGAGTAGTAATATTTGCAATTGGTAAATATGTACTAATGCATGTCTCTTTTAATACACATTAATATTGCCAGTGGAATCCAACACTTTTTTACAATTAAAAATTTCTATACATTAAATATCTGGGACGTTGGTAGAAACCCATAAAAACTTCCAAAATACTTCTCTCTAAAAAAATTTCTCTTCATAGGCTAAAAATGTTACACTAGTTACTACTTTCATTTACAGGTATGTATCTAAATATATGGTACTTGCTGTCGCCAGAAATGTTGCCCGGCTTGGAGAAATGAAAAATATTTCCAGTTTAGTAACTGAAATGGAATAAATATTTGAAAAGTAATATATGTTAGTACTACATAAAGACAAAAAAAAATTAACGAAAAAACTATATGCACGGGCTAAATTCAAGGAATTGTTTAACTTTTATAACAAAAACAATCGACTGAACAAAATTTACTTTTTTCTCTTGATTTTAATAAACGATCCATGACCTTTATTGATTTACGTACATATGTATTACTCATAACATATGAAATTTATTATCTGTATTTGCCAATGTCTGACTTAAATGGTACGATTTTTTTTTTTTTGTTTGTTTTGTTGTTTTTTATATTTGAAGGCTATATAATCGTGTATAAACCTTTATAATCAATCACATATATCCAACTGTAAAACAGCTAAATGGCTTTTATGTATAGTTCAATCACTAAAGCTTAATATGTAAGGTATACCTACATATACTCATTAGACAATTAAATAAATCGCTTAATTTTTCATCATGTCATATAAATATTTTATAATTAATGTTTTAATGTTTTTCTTTTTGGTAAAAGAGTGATCTATTTTGAATTCGGAATGAATAAGTATACATTTTTGTTATGGTAATAGTTATTTTACATAGCAAATTATATAACAATTTAAATATATATATATCACTTCTCTAATTTATATATTTATATAGCATGTGTATTGTTTATTCTTTATACCTACATAACTGCCAAAATTATAAGTGAATAGCAGTATATATTTATACTCGTACACCCGTACAGAGATCTATAGGCATGCATATATTTACATATCATCACTTAAAATGCAAAACAACGTATTATCAAAAACAAAAAGAAATCGAACATGTTTTTTAATGATTACGATTCACTACATCAAATTAAAATTTTTACACTTTATTTTAAGCATCAGTTATTAGATACAACCAAACTTAAATTTTTGTTTCAATATGAGTACTTTATATTTTCCATCATTTCTTACTTTTCCTGTTAACCTATGAAAAGTGATATGACGTTATATTACATTTTAAGTGAAGAAATAAAGGTTATGGGAAAAATTTATGATGGTGATACAGTAAATTTAAGCTCTAGATATCATAAGATAATTATGGCAAACCATTTCTTATTATAATTTTCTACTCTGAATGTAAATTTACTAAAATATTCGAAAAAATACTGCAAACTTAACTGTATATCTCTTAGTCCCATATTTATATAACATATAGCATAATTATATGCTTTATCTTTTATTACTAAAATTATAGCTTTTATAATTAAATATTTTTAGCATTAAATTAAAATGTAGAACTTAATGAGAGGGAAATTTAAAATAAATATAACGGTAGTGGTTTTGATATTTTCATGAGCTTAGACATTTGAATGTATTCCAGAGTTGCCTGACGCACCAGAAAGATTAGCAGAAACTGGCTCAGACGTCGATGAATTTGTTAGCGCTCCTAATTGTGTTTGCTGATGATTGCAGTTTCGTATTGAATACTCTGTTAATGTGAACGCTTCCATTTTAACTCGCAGTTCTTCTTTCCGGGCCTGTACCGAGAGTAATTCATCACTTAAATCGTTGCACAAACGCAACAACATATTATTTTGCTCGCGAAGGTGCCTCAACACATTACCCATACTATTGTCCTGCCTGAATGACACGTGTTTTAAAGTTTCGCTAATAGCGTTAATACGTTTTTCATACAGGTCTGAATTTGGTAATGCGTTAACTAATTGTAAATGTTGTGTTGTTACAGAACCACCGATTGCTCCAACTGATTTAGATGTTGGAGGAAGCAGTTGACTTTGCTGTATTCTATTATTCATTTGTATTCCAGGTATAGGCGATTGTGAACTTCGTGGTGTATTTGGTTTTCTATACACTTCAAACGCTGAAACGCGTTGATTGGACTGTTGCAATGAAACCCGTGTTGGGGGCATTGCAACCACTGCAGTAGCGGATTGTGATGATAACGTTTGGAGCGTTGGTGGTAAAGAGTACTCTTTTTGATCAGAGTTTGCCTCTTTCTATAAAAAAAAATATTTATTTAACGTAAAATATTTTCGCGAAGAACAAGTTTTTCATACCAAATCATTGTTATAAAATTGTGTGAAATCAGCAAAACCAGTAGAAGTCTGTAGATCAAAACTTGCCTGTGCTGTTATCTAAAATAAAATTAATAATTTCACAATAAAACTTGAGACCATTATAAATTTACACATATATAGTAAGCAAATTTAATTAAAAGTTAATGAGATTATTTTACCTCTGCCTGTTGACAACCAGATGTAGAAATTTTAAATTTGTTTAAATCCAAACTACTACTACGGCCATGCCGATGGGGTCGTGGTGGTGGTAATGGAGGAGGGTCCTTTTTATTTTGTAATAATTGTTGCTTTTGGCCGTTATTAACTATTTCGTTATCATCTCCGTTCTCAGCAGAGAGAACTATGCTCGTAAAAGCATTGCTTGAGATTCCAGAGTTACTGCTTATACATGGCTCTCTTTGTGGTGGTGGAGGTAAGGCTCCGATATTTTTTGTTAATAATTTTTTTGCTTGAGGACGCTGTATAGCTCTTAAATCATTAGTTTGGAGAGACTCCCTATTATGTATTAAAATATTTGCTGGGTTATTGTTGTTGGGATTTAATGGAATTGTAGTTGAAGAAGCAGCTGACATTTGTTTAGGACTTGTGTCTTGATTATGTGACAATTCGTTGACATCCTGATTAACAGTTTCAGTGGGAACTATTGAATTTCCAGAAAGAGTACCTGCTAAATATCATATTTCAGATTTGATCATTTTCGTGAAATTAATTTCTAATTTTAAAGCAAAAAAATATATATATACTACCAACTGGGGTGACCCGTAAAGGTACAGGATGCAGTATTTGTGGGTCTGACACCACAGCTTGTGCAGTTCGCTGCATATCAAAGTTTACTGGTTTTGGACCAGGACTGGATACATTTGATGTAGGAGATTCCGTAAACTTAGTCCATTGAGAGGGAGGTATATCCTTATTTATATATCAATGTAAATAAAATCAATATAATAAGTTATTATCATATTTACCGTGGGAGCCCATAAATTTCGATCTTTTGTTTTATCTAACCCTAATTCAATTGTCAAGTTAGGGGGTGTGATGTTTGACTCAACAATTGGGGAATTAGATATACTGCGATTCCTTACTGGAGGAGCTAACGTTGGAGGTGTTAATAATGGCTGATTTCCTTGTCTGGATCCACTACTCGCCTATTAATTTAAATAATTAAATATTATTTGAAAGTATAGTTTTGTTCTTACTTGTGATGATGCTGACAAAGTACTAATATCCATTCCGTTTTTATCGCTAATAATTCGTTTCACAGTACTTGCTTGTGTTGCAATTATTGTATTATCAGTTTTGTCCTCTTCATCATCATCATTTAAATGTAAAAGGTCAGCTTCAGGTGGTTCTAGTGTTAATTTGGCACTAAGCCGTGAGCCATATTGTAATATAGTTGGATGTAAACATGATGGTAGCATGGCTGGCAAGGGTATGTTATTACGTCTTAATACAACTAAATGCATAGCGGCAGTAAATTCAGCCAAACTTAATGCACCATCACGAGATACGTCGCATAATTGCCAAATATGTTTCAATTCTTCAACTGGTATCCTTGATTTTTCAAAAAAAACCCTGCAAAAATTTCCTTCAAAATATATTTGATTTACTTTAAAATTTTTTAAATAATTTTACCTCGCTACCTGGCCGGAAATAAATCCCTTATTGTCATGTTGTACTGATTTAAACTGTTTATAGTAATAATCGCGTTGCTCTGGTGTTATTTGGTATACGCTTTCTAAATCATTTTCATCCTCACTACTATGACGATCTGAAGATTCTTCTTCTGTACCCAGTAGTTGCCGATGTTCATCTCCCAGCAAACCTTGCCATAATGTTTCTTTAGCCCACTGACGATCTGTCACACTATTTGTTGGAGTGGGACTATCACTATTTGTACTCCAAGCTTCTGGTGAACCTCTATGACGAAGCTACCGTTCGAACAAAAAAAAATGTTAAGTTGGTCATAAAAACACTATTTGTCTTAAAACTAGTCATGGGGTTTTCAATGTACAACATGTAAATCATTTTGAGGGAAGTAATTCATAAAAACATATGTGAACACACTAACAAAAATTCAATTTCACCGTTGATACACGATGCTATCTTCGGAGATTCAATGTGCAACTATATACATCATCCATCCTCAAGTCGAAATTTTTCCAGTTTTTTGTGCATATTGATATTACTTACTGTTTCATGGCCACTGCTTCCACTCTCATCTGCCCGATTGGCGCTATCTCCCTCATTCGACTCATTCTGATCAATTTCAGAATCAGTGCTTACCACGTCTCTGTTTTTTATAGCATTCTCTAAAGTGTTACCTCCACCGGATTCAACCAGCCAGTCTTTTTGTTTTTGAGGTAATGAATTCTTTCGCTCAGAGACTGGAGGCGGTGGAATTGAGTTTGACTCGTTTGTAGACTGGTGCATCCTTGAACCACTTGGAATGAAATCGGTATCAATATTACTTGGCGAATCTTTCCAGCTGAACCGCGGCAATGGCAAGGGAAGAGTTGAAGTCATAATCTCTTGACTCAATTGTAATCCTGCTTGAAATGCAGCAATAAGTTTTAAGCACGAATAAAATTGTGCTCGAGAGATATGAATAGCTGTTGGAGGTATACCGACAAGTGAAGTTATCTAATTAAAAAAAAGTAAACTTTTAACAAAAAGAAACTTAGAAAGAAACGATTTTGTTGAATTTTAAATACCTCTAAAATTTTATCATTTTGCAAATTCGCTGAACGAAACAATTCCATAGCTTTTAGTATTGATATTTTACCAACTTTTTCCACGTCACAACATAGAAACAAATCGCTAAAGTAGCGCGATTCCGTTTCATTAAGGTATACTTCCATTATTCAATTATCACTTATTACTTGTTGCTGTCAGTGTATCAACACTACAAGTAAATTTTTCAAATATTTTAATTATTTAACTCTTTTTAACTTATCAAATATGTTACCTCTCGCCTACGTCACAATAATTTACCAAAATATCCTTTCTATTAGTTCACCTCCCTACTATATTGTTACTTTGAAGGCGTAAATCGTATTCAATACTTGTAAAATAAAAAGGTTTTTAGTTTTCTAAAATTCGAGAACAATGCGAATAGTTTATAATAACTAATTGTTTTCTTCGTTGGAATTGTGCAAATTATAAACCTTTTCTCTTGTTATATTTTCACACGACAAGCTGTCACTTTATGACACTTTTAGAAGCAATGAAGTATTTTTAATATGTCCGTGTTGCCAGATAATACTCTAGAGGAGATAGAAAACAAAGAATGTCAAAAATTGTTGAATTTCTTAAACATTCTCACTCTAAAATAAGAGTATATAAAAATCAGAGAATGTTAATGAATAGAGAAGGAGCAAATGTTAAATGAAATCTTTTTGAGTACTAATTTGTAGTTCCAGATGAGGGAACATCGAAAAATATAACTTCGAAAAATAAAAATACACCACGCAATGTGCGAAATGCTATAANATAAATCACGTTCTCTGGTCGAGTAGATAGAATTTGCGCACGCCGATTAGAAATACTAGGTTCGATTCTCGTTTGAGGCACTTGATTGTTAGATATTATAATTAATTTGTTATTATTGAATTAGGAATATATATATGTGTAAATAGGGCAAAGAAAAATAATAAGCGGTAGGACAGGAAAGGGTGTAGGCAGAATGAAATTGAAGTAAAAAAAAATCTAAAAAGCGACTTAAATAAATGAAAGAAAATGAATAAAATACCATTTGCACATTAGGAGGGTGGGGGTATGGGGAAGAAATACTAAAATTTAGAAGAAAGAGCGGAGTTTGCGCCTTACGAAGTAAGGCGTAAACGACGCGTCCTTAAAAGGGACACGTGGTTATAGTAGTGGTAGGCGGGTGATTGATGATGCAAATGGAAGCCCTGAGTGTCCTCTAAACGATGCAATTTGTTTGACCCACCTAGCTTATATACTCCGGCCGCTAGAGGTCGCAGAAGGGTGGAAAAACACCTGTGTGCAGGGCAAAATGACTCATGGTGCATTCTATAGGATTCCCACGCTCCTACTGGTGGTGGTAGGCCAGGTGTTGATGGTGATAATGGAAGCCCCGAGTGTCCTCTAGGTGATCCACTTGGTTTCATCCCCCCTCTCATATACCCCCTTAACTGGAAACACAAAAAAGGTAAAAAGTAGAAATTTTGAAATTTTCACTTTTTTGTTGATTGCCACTCACCTGTTCAACCTATATCTGAGATTGATGTCTCTAATTAACGTGCACCTGTGCGGCTACATGAATCAAATAGTTTGCGCCATCTTAGATCACCCTGTTTTAGGCGCTAATGGCCGCAAAGGGTGACACGTTAAATTCCAAAGTGTTTTTGGTGAATTGCCACGCCCCTATTGGTGGTAGGCGGGTGATTGATGATGCAAATGGAAGCCCTGAGTGTCCTCTAAACGATGCAATTTGTTTGACCCACCTAGCTTATATACTCCGGCCGCTAGAGGTCGCAGAAGGGTGGAAAACACCTGTGTGCAGGGCAAAATGACTCATGGTGCATTCTATAGGATTCCCACGCTCCTGGTGGTGGTAGGCAGGTGGTTGATGGTGATAATGGAAGCCCCGAGTGTCCTCTAGGTGATCCACTTGGTTTCATTCCCCCCTCTCATATACCCCCTTAACTGGAAACACAAAAAAGGTAAAAAGTAGAAATTTTGAAATTTTCACTTTTTTGTTGATTGCCACTCACCTGTTCAACCTATATCTGAGATTGATGTCTCTAATTAACGTGCACCTGTGCGGCTACATGAATCAAATAGTTTGCGCCATCTTAGATCACCCTGTTTAGGCGCTAATGGCCGCAAAAGGGTGACACGTTAAATTCCAAAGTGTTTTTTGGTGAATTGCCACGCCCCTATTGGTGGTAGGCGGGTGATTGATGATGCAAATGGAAGCCCTGAGTGTCCTCTAAACGATGCAATTTGTTTGACCCACCTAGCTTATATACTCCGGCCGCTAGAGGTCGCAGAAGGTGGAAAACACCTGTGTGCAGGGCAAAATGACTCATGGTGCATTCTATAGGATTCCCACGCTCCTGCTGGTGGTAGGCAGGTGGTTGATGGTGATAATGGAAGCCCCGAGTGTCCTCTAGGTGATCCACTTGGTTTCATTCCCCCTCTCATATACCCCCTTAACGGGAAACACAAAAAGGTAAAAAGTAGAAATTTTGAAATTTTCACTTTTTGTTGATTGCCACTCACCTGTTCAACCTATATCTGAATTGATGTCTCTAATTAACGTGCACCTGTGCGGCTACATGAATCAAATAGGTTTGGCCATCTTAGATCACCCTGTTTAGGCGCTAATGGCCGAAAGGGTGACACGTTAATTCAAAGTGTTTTTGTGAATTGCCGCCCTATTGGTGGTAGGCGGGTGATTGATGATGCAAATGGAAGCCCTAGTGTCTCTAAACGATGCATATTTGTTTGACCCACCTACTATATACTCCGGCCGCTAGAGGTCGCAGAAGGGTGGAAAACACCTGTGTGCGAGGGCAAAATGACTCATGGTGCATTCTATAGGATTCCCACGCTCCTGGTGGTGGTAGGCAGGTGGTTGATGGTGATAATGGAAGCCCCGAGTGTCCTCTAGGTGATCCACTTGGTTTCATTCCCCCTCTCATATACCCCCTTAACTGGAAACACAAAAAAGGTAAAAAGTAGAAATTTTGAAATTTTCACTTTTTTGTTGATTGCCACTCACCTGTTCAACCTATATCTGAGATTGATGTCTCTAATTAACGTGCACCTGTGCGGCTACATGAATCAAATAGTTTGCGCCATCTTAGATCACCCTGTTTAGGCGCTAATGGCCGCAAAAGGGTGACACGTTAAATTCCAAAGTGTTTTTTGGTGAATTGCCACGCCCCTATTGGTGGTAGGCGGGTGATTGATGATGCAAATGGAAGCCCTGAGTGTCCTCTAAACGATGCAATTTGTTTGACCCACCTAGCTTATATACTCCGGCCGCTAGAGTCGCAGAAGGTGGAAAAACACCTGTGTGCAGGGCAAAATGACTCATGGTGCATTCTATAGGATTCCCACGCTCCTGGTGGTGGTAGGCAGGTGGTTGATGGTGATAATGGAAGCCCCGAGTGTCCTCTAGGTGATCCACTTGGTTTCATTCCCCCCTCTCATATACCCCCTTAACTGGAAACACAAAAAGGTAAAAGTAGAAATTTTGAAATTTTCACTTTTTTGTTGATGCCACTCACCTGTTCAACCTATATCTGAGATTGATGTCTCTAATTAACGTGCACCTGTGCGGCTACATGAATCAAATAGTTTGCGCATATCTTAGATCACCCTGTTTAGGCGCTAATGGCCGAAAAGGGTGACACGTTAAATTCAAAGTGTTTTGGTGATTGCACGCCCCTATTGGTGGTAGGCGGGTGATTGATGATGCAAATGGAAGCCCTGAGTGTCCTCTAAACGATGCAATTTGTTTGACCCACCTAGCTTATATACTCCGGCCGCTAGAGGTCGCAGAAGGGTGGAAAACACCTGTGTGCAGGGCAAAATGACTCATGGTGCATTCTATAGATTCCCACGCTCCTGGTGGTGGTAGGCAGGTGGTTGATGGTGATAATGGAAGCCCAAGTGTCCTCTAGGTGATCCACTTGGTTTCATTCCCCCTCTCATATACCCCTTAACTGGAAACACAAAAAAGGTAAAAAGTAGAAATTTTGAAATTTTCACTTTTTTGTTGATTGCCACTCACCTGTTCAACCTATATCTGAGATTGATGTCTCTAATTAACGTGCACCTGTGCGGCTACATGAATCAAATAGTTTGCGCCATCTTAGATCACCCTGTTTAGGCGCTAATGGCCGCAAAAGGGTGACACGTTAAATTCCAAATGTTTTTGGTGATGCCACGCCCTATTGGTGGTAGGCGGGTGATTGATGATGCAAATGGAAGCCCTGAGTGTCCTCTAAACGATGCAATTTGTTTGACCCACCTAGCTTATATACTCCGGCCGCTAGAGGTCGCAGAAGGGTGGAAAAACACCTGTGTGCAGGGCAAAATGACTCATGGTGCATTCTATAGGATTCCCACGCTCCTGGTGGTGGTAGGCAGGTGGTTGATGGTGATAATGGAAGCCCCGAGTGTCCTCTAGGTGATCCACTTGGTTTCATTCCCCCTCTCATATACCCCTTAACGGGAAACACAAAAAAGGTAAAAGTAGAAATTTTGAAATTTTCACTTTTTGTTGAATTGCCACTCACCTGTTCAACCTATATCTGAGATTGATGTCTCTAATTAACGTGCACCTGTGCGGCTACATGAATCAAATAGTTTGCGCCATCTTAGATCACCCTGTTTAGGCGCTAATGGCCGCAAAAAGGGTGACATTAAATTCAAAGTGTTTTTTGGTGAATTGCCCACGCCCCTATTGGTGGTAGGCGGGTGATTGATGATGCAAATGGAAGCCCTGAGTGTCCTCTAAACGATGCAATTTGTTTGACCCACCTAGCTTATATACTCCGGCCGCTAGAGGTCGCAGAAGGTGGAAAAACACCTGTGTGCAGGCAAAATGACTCATGGTGCATTCTATAGGATTCCCACGCTCTGGTGGTGGTAGGCAGGTGGTTGATGGTGATAATGGAAGCCCCGAGTGTCCTCTAGGTGATCCACTTGTTTCCATTCCCCCTCTCATATACCCCTTAACTGGAAACACAAAAAAGGTAAAAAGTAAAATTTTGAAATTTTCACTTTTGTGATTGCCACTCACCTGTTCAACCTATATCTGAGATTGATGTCC